CTCTCTCTCTCTCTCTCTCTCTCTCTCTCTCTCTCTCTCTCTCTCTCTCTCTCTCTTTGTGTCCCCTATGCTCTTCTTCAAGCAAGAAACTGCCCTCCACGTCACTGACACACGCTGCAGGGCTGTCTCTCTCTCTCTCTCTCGCCCTCTGTCTCTCCGTTCGTGCACGAAGGCGCTGCTGACAGCCAAGAAAACAGCACTTCTAACAATCAAGAATTTGACATAGAAAGTGGAAAAATAAGAAAGCCACTCACCGAGGTCTTGCTGCACTACCGTGGTCACCGAGAAAAAAAAAAGGTGTTGTATTTTTCCACGGTCTAGTCGATGATTCATTCACATTTTGCACATTTGCTGAGGAGTGGAGCAAGGGCCCAAGTATGGATGGAATGGAACTCAACTTAGAACATGGAAAGGTACGTCGCTACTTTACTTTTGCCTTTTTGCCAAGGTTCTGAGTTCCCCAGCCGTGGTCCAGAACTAAGCCTACTCAGCCTGGACCCGACCCCCTTGTGCAGGGCACTGCAGGCAAAGTTGGTCTCGTTCACTCGAACATAACCATATGCATTGTAATTGAATACAACGCACGGTATGCATTGTATTCGTTTACAACGCATATGCCTTATATTCGGGGGAAGGCGGTAGTAGGAGATTGCTTGGGCCTGGCGTCTGAAGTTCCCGTGCAACGAGGCTCGTTCGACTCCGCTTCCACAAGGGACTGGGTCATGGCTAGCCCTGGTGCCTGTCACTACTGTTCGTCCAAAAAGTTCCCCTCGATACTAAGTAGGGGTAATGGTCCTGAGTGCTGGTCACACTGAGGTAGAATAGTAGAGATAAGGGGTGCGCTAGGAGTATTGCCGTGAGGATGGGATGGGGGGTAGCCTCATTCCCTCAGGACAACCATGGCAGACCGCTCCAGGCTATCAATGTGTACCTAGTAACCAGCCTCTACAACACCCTGGGCTTAAAAAAAAAAAAAGATTGAGAGAAGAATGTAGACTACCTTTTCTTTTTCTTTGTTATAAAAAAAAGGGATAATTTGCAAAATACCCCATGAGTTGAGATATATGCCAAAATGGCCCTAAAACTTGAAGATGTGTGTAGAGTAGAACGCCCCTCTGCCACAATTTTTTTTTTGTCAAATATCCCTAGCGTCGGTTGAACCCCCTTCTTTGCAATGTACCCGTACCGGGTACCGTCCAACCTTGCAAAATGCCCCTGTACTTGAGAACGTTTCTGAGGCCCTATTGCAAAAGCTTAGGACCCAAACCGGGAGATCCAGATTGCAAAGTTCAACACCCACCTAACAGGGGCACAACATGAACATTTAGGACCAAAAGGGCATTCCACTCTACCCACTTATTTCAGGGGCATTTTGGCAATTACCTCAACTCATGAGGGTATTTTGCAAATTATCCCTTCAAAAAAACATCGTCAATTGCAGCCAGGAAAAAATAAGGGCCGCCACAGTGCCCAAAGGAAACACTATGGTACCTCATTTGCAGAAGCCCCGCTGTATGCTGTATGCTTTGTGCGGCTATCTTCGAGAGCAACCTGGGCGCAGCTGCATGGGTAGTCAAGGGGCACAGGGGGCCACAGCTACCGTCTTCCCCCGAACATAACGCATATGCGTTGTTTTCAAGTTTCCCAAAAAAACGAAAATCCGAATAGAACGCAGTTGCGTTGTATTGGAAAAGCAGGGCTGTTTGAATAGAACGTGTATGCATTGTATTCGAATAGAAGGCAGCCTATGTCTCGTATTCGTTTACAACGCACATGCATTACGTTCGGGGGAAGACGGTAGGACCTAGATAGGAGGGAGAGAGAATGAGGCAGGGGGTTGAAGAGGTACAGAGATCCAAGAGTGAGGGGGAGGTAGACAGGAGATAAACACAGAGCAAGAGAGAGGGGGACCTACCTTTACACAGAATAAAAGAAATGAAAAGAGGGGGGTTCTACCTGTGATGAATTGGAGGCAGCCACAGCTGCCAGGTTTCGTTTTTTTTTTTTTTTTTTTTTTTTTTGAAGCTGCCAGGTTTCATGCAAGCTGGTATTCTTCTTTGAGGTTTCATTGTAATTTAGAGTCTCAAGTCGACCCGTCTTCACCCGAATAGAACGCCCGGTCATTATAGCTGTATTTGGCACCTACTTTAATTACCGGACGTTCTATTCGGGGGAAGAAGGCAATATTCATCTCCTTGGTCATGTGTCCGAGCTTGGCCTGATGGAATTGAGAACGTGTTGTTTGACGATTGGTTGGGGAATTGAGTGGGATCATTTTTTTTTTTTTTTTTTTTTTTTCTTTCTATATTCTTCTCTTAACTTTTGATTCTTTTACCTTCCACTACGTACTCCTAAGACTATCTAGAGGGGACCCCTGCAAGCATAGTTTCCTCTCTCTGTGAAGGGAAGATTTCATGTTGCCCCTTGCCCCTTGCCCCTTGCCCCTTGCCCCTAATGGTTAGGGTATAGGGTTGGGGCCGCCAGTGAGGTCTGGCTAACA